GATAGATAAGTAACGTAAGTTTCACTTCTACAGTGTGGCCCAGGCGCACTTACTTTTTTTTCGTCTTAAGGCGCATGCGCTAGCCAACCACAAAAGTAGAAAAGCACACAAACCTCACGTCACGTTCGAAAGCATCTCATTGAGTAAAAAAACCGTGGGATGTCAAAACGAATCTTTATGGTTTTTTTCCACAAAAAGAGAATAATAAAAATAAACACGTAAAGAAGTATAAGTTCGGGCGAAACCGAATTTTATATACCCGGCGCAGGTATCAACCATCGTCGTTCCAACTTTCTTTAAACTACCTAAAAGTCTATAACAGTCTTATTTATTGGTAAAAGATTGTTGTAAGTGTTAACTTGGAGTAAGTAAATGTCCTCAGTTACTGAAATATCGGAGTTTTCGTATATCCGAAAATTACCGCTATACGGAAAACCGGTGCAATTTTAGTCCGATTTGAATAATTTTCAACACGCCCCATTTCCAAAAATTTCATAATAATGCTATTTTGCAAAAAAATTCTACCTCACGTACTGATTTTGAACAATTTGGTTCCAATATTTACCGAAATGTCATAGCTTTGCATTTTTCGAAAATATTGTTATATGAGAAGGGGGCGTTGTTACAGTCCGATTTCGCCCTTTTTCAACAGCAGCCTACCTGGGATAAAGAGCAACCTCTGTACCAAATTTCGTTGAGATATCTCAATTTTTGCTCGAGTTATCGTGTACACGGGCAGACGGACGGACGGGCGGACGGACAGACATGGCTTAATCGACTGCTCTTTTCATTCTGATAATTTATGTATACATTTGTCTATATCTATCTCAATTCCTTTAGTCTGTTACGAACAACCGTTATGCGAACAAAGTTATAATACCCTGTGCACAAGTGCGCTCGGGTATAAAAATAATGAACTTATCCTAGAAATGCTTATCCTAGCATTATTAGGACCGCTTATTTAAATGAAACTTATTTCGAGGCTTCCGCACTCAACAACATGTCGGTGTTGTTCTCAAGTTTCTGCAATTCGCAGACATCTTTTTTATTTTTGGAAGTAAATTCTAAGTATGTACTTATGTACAGATTCATGCAGAATATATGTATAGTACTTTAAGCAAAATTAAAACTTGCATCAACAAAACGCCAATACGAGTACTTCAATTTCCAAACGAATCGCTCCCGGATATCAGAGAAATTATAATTTCGACATACTTCGTTGCGTTCGGCAGTCATTCAGTCTGTGCCTTCCTTTGTTCTTTTGCCTGGTGCATATTTTCAGGCACTGTGTGGACATTTCGCTGGCTACGAACGCCACACATTTCTTATTAATAATGCTTTCGTTTCACTTACTTACATATACCTACAATCATTAATGTAATACTTCTATATTGATAGTAAGCTAACATCTCAATGTGTAAGCATTCCGAAATCAAAGCGAGACAGTCTAGTACTGTTTTTGTCAATGTATTGTGTACTTGAGTGCCGTTTTTGTAAATGTGTCGTGTACATGCTTATTTATAAACGTATGTGTTCCTTTTCTTTCGTACGTGTTTCTTGATATATCTGTACTGTAGTGTTTTCGGACGGTACTAGCTCTTACTGCCAATATAGGTGTATTACATATATGCCAACAATACATACTCTTCCTCGATCATCTTAAACTAAATCTTGCACCCTTCTTACTCATTTCACGCGGCGCCGCACAGTGGACAAAACGCGAAATTTATCATTCAAACAGACAGCAACTCTTTACAGTTTTTAAATTTTTAAATTAAATTAAAAGGTTTTTGAATTTATGTCGTTTTTATAGTTAACAGTTGATTATAAAAATTTCTAATACCTGGAGAATTCGATAATCGATTAAAACAAAATGAATTTCAAATAAAAGGCAATTCAATTAGATTTTTCATTTAAATTACAAGTTTCCGTAATATTTACAACGACTTCTTGGCAAAAATGGGAACATTTTCAATTTATATTATAACAAGTAAGAAACTCTAAGTTCGGGCGAAGCCGAACATAAAATACCCGCGCAAGTATTAAATACATGATTTTCACCTTTCCGAGAGCTACCGCTACATGGTAGGCCGAGGTGTGTCAATTTTGAGTAAATTAGCGTCCTTAAATTTCGAAACATTGAAGTTTAAAGCATTTCTCAAATTTACCGTTATATGAAAAGCGGCCGTAATTTTAGTCCGATTTCAATAATTTTCAACGTTTTGCTTTTATGTGGTAAGCATAATAATCATACCGAGTGTGGTACAAATTGGCACAACGATTACCGAGATACATATATGTGATCATAAGTGGGCGGTGTCACTCCCATTTTCAAAAATTTTATCATAAATGTATTTCTTGGTAAAGAGTTGGTCTAAGCATCAATTTTGAATAAATTAGCTTTAATATTTACTGATTTATCGAATATTTCGTATTTCTCTAAATTACCGTTATATGGGATGTGGAAGTGGTTATTGTCCGATTTTAAAAATTGTCGGTCATTTGGTATGCCGTACTAAGGCCACTGTGCCAAGTTTGGAAGAAATTGGTGCAGGGGTTAGCAAGATACAAACATATATTTAATACTTGCGCCGGGTATTTAATGTTCGGCTCCGCCCGAACTTAGACTTTCTTACTTGTTTAAAACACTTTTGTTCCATTGTTCGCCGTTTTTGTCATTTTTGGCGCTTCCGCTGCCATTAGTTTGGCATTGGCGTTTGCTAAACTATTTTATGAACATTCGTAGTAATATTTACATGAATAAATATATATGTACATACTTATATATGTAAGTACATTAGGGCGGGTCGAAAAGCAAATTTTTCTCAAATCCCTTGGTAATAGTGAAAATATATTGTA